AGAAAGAAAGAAAGAAAGAAAGAAAGAAAGAAAGAAAGAAAGAAAGAAAGAAAGAAAGAAAGAAAGCGAGCCATGATGGCACAGTGGTTAGAATGCAGTATTGCAAGCTAACTCTGCCTACCGCCAGCAGTTCAATCCTGACCGGTTTGAGGTTGACTCAGCCTTCCATCCATCCAACGTCGATGAAATGAGGACTCAGATTGTTGAGGGCAATACAGTGACTCTGTAAACCGCTTAGAGAGGACTATGGAATGGTATATAAGTCCTTCCTTTCTCCCTCCCTTCTTTCCAAGGTGTACAGTGGTTAGAATGCAGAATTGCAGGCTAGCTCTGCCCACTGCCAACAGTTCGATCAAGGCTCAAGGCTGGCTCAGCCTTCCATCTTTCCGAGATTGATAAAACGAGGACCCAGATTGTTGGGGGCAAGAGGCTGACTCTGTAAACCACTTGGAGAGGGCCGTAAAGCATTGTGAAAGTGGTATATAAGTCTTAAGCATTACTGCTATTGGTGTTTGCCGCTTGAAGCGTCGGGATTAACTATGCAAATGCCCTTTTGTCATGCATCGCGTATCCAACTCAAACACGCCACTTAAGACTTTCAGGAGAGCAGACCTCAGGCATTTCAGTAAGGAGCTTAAAGGGCGATCGAGTTTCCTTTGAGTAGATTACTCCTAAATTTGGAGGACGCTCTTTGGAAAAGGGCCATCAATTAAATTCATCAAATGAGCTGTAATCCATTAATCCAATGCAGCTGCATGACTTTGGGATGGGAGCAAAGCGCTTGGTTTGGCATCAAAAGAACCCTTTTTCGAGGCAGCGTAGAACGTGCAGGTCAGAGCCGGGCGTCGGGTTGAATTTGATTGAAAAGAAGGGCTCTGGAGCAGGTGGGAAGGAGAAGCCAACATCTGGGTGGAAGAAGCTTCCGCTGACAGCCCCGGCCCTCTTGAAGACAGATGTGGCTGCTTTAGAGAGGCTGCATTCATGGTCTTGCCTTGATTAGTTCCCATCCTTTGCTTCTTGTCCTGCCTGTGACCGGCAGCGATCACCAACTGGTGGTCAGTGAGAAAATGTTGATGGTTCGAAGTAAAATTATTTGCATTTTTTTATTCCACCATATCAGGGGTCCTCAAACTACGTCCCCTGGGTCGGATATGTGCAATGAACGCTTGTGTTGCTGAAGAGAGTCTCCCCCTTTGGGGTCTTTTTGTGCAGGTCAGAGGGGGGCAGAAATTCTGACTTGGGGTCTGCTTCAGTCTCCTGGTGAGGGACTTTGGGTGAAGGCTGGACAGAAGTATCGTTGGTGGCGAAGAGCCGGTGGGCCTCGTTCCAGTGGGTCTGCATCATGGCCTGGAACTGGCTGACCATCTCAGCCCGCTGAGCCTCCAGGT